TACCTATTCAGACAAGCAGCTGATGATGTTGAGATGCACCAACACAGTTTGAGAATGTGATATAAGCAACACCCAGCATACTTTGTAAACTACATATTTGAAGCTAGGTTAGTCCTCTTTCTGTTCTTAATACAATTTGGCTGCCATATCAAGGAGAGAGAAAGAGCCTACATACTCCCACTGCTGCCAAAACTAGAGCAGAGAAATGCAAAACTGGATGGTTTCAAAGACCTTTAAAAAAATCTACAATATGCTTTCTTAAAACACATTAAGCTTACTATATTTATTTTATCCCATCAAAAGAACAGGAAGCCTTATTCTGTCAACAGTACACTTATACCTCATTAAAAGGGATAGTTCTCCTTGTAAATGCTGCTCCTCTTGTAGAAGAGCTACAGAATGGATCCCTTGGGTAACCATAAAGAATTTACAAGGAATTATATCTATGATTCACTACAGCAGAGTCAACGAAAGTGAACAGTATAAAGGGGGGAAATAGCACACAAAGTATACTAGTTTATACTATGAAGGCTTTCAGTAGTTATATGCGACGTACAGACTCTTAAATACTGACTAGATTTCACTCCCTAATGTTAGGGAGATTTAAATTACAGTCCTAGACAGTCACAGACATAGGAGAACCAGAGGTGTAGCTGGAGAGGTTTTGAAAGTTTTTATTGCAGATGATTATGACTAATGGTGGAGAAATTCAGAAATTGCACTGGAGGTTCCCAGTATGCCTAGAATGAGGACTGTAACCGAAAGTAGATGGGACTAGGAAAACAATAAGTGTTACTGAGGCAGTGTTGCCTGAATTTGGAATAACTATGAAGTGCCTGTAATGTCCAGAATTGAATTTACATTGACACCTGTGCACTTTCTTCCGCCCTCATTCACAACACCTCATGGCTAGGCCAGCTCCATGAACACCAAGATCATAATTGGAAGCTGCTCAGCCCAGAGCACCAAAGCGTTGGAAATTCTGGGGTGATTTGCTCCCGACTTACATGTCCTTGGGTTTCATGTTAGTGCAAAAGGTCTCTAAGTGCAGAATTGATAATTCAAGTCAGAAGATGTGGTGGGAAGGAGTTCTCTTAAGTTGAGGCCTGCCCTCTTCTTCCTGCATGACCACTTGGAAAGCGATAGACCTCTGTAGATGCCATAAACTCTTCTCATAGGGAAGGAAAGCTCTCTCTTTCTCGTTAACCCCAGTCATGGGAGAAGGAAGTATTCTTTTGGTGGCAGCACAAAGCTGTAATGGGGGATGATGTCTATATGCTTTGCAGATCAGCTATCTTTACTGGAGCCTCACCACCTCCTAGCACTGGGAAGAAGTACAAGATTCTCTCTCATCTCTCCCCCTTCCCCCAATTTTACGTCTCCAATCCTAAATCGTTTCTATCATAAGGGGGTGGAGGGAAGAAATAAAACTAGCTTGAAAGGCCTGCTGGAGTGAGCACTCCAGGGAACTCTACATAAACACTGCTTTCTGTCCAAAAGATGGGCTAGTCTGGGAAGTCAGAAGAATTACGCTATCTTCCAACAAGGGTATGGTGCCTTGGACACCACAGAGAGAAGGAATTTCGAGATATGTGGGTTGGAAATTGCTAGTAACAAACTTGAAAGAAAGACACTCTAAAAGTGCTATCTTACTCTGCACAGATCAATAATTCGATTCATGGTTAGTGTTGGCAGTGTGTGAACTGCACAAAAATTGTGCTTTTTTGGACTTGATTTTTTAAAAAGTTTTTTTTAGTACCTAGAATGTACTAAATGTACGTAGAACAAATTATACTATTCCCGAGTAACACCTTAAGATTTCTTTTGAATTACTTACGTGGCTGTGTGGACAATAAAGACGTGGAAATGGTTACTAAAATATGGACCACAGCTAAAATCGTATTTGCATTGTACTGCAAAAATCGATTACCCTGCCACTGTTGGACTTAAAAATATTGGGCTTGGCAGCTTATGTTCAAGCTAAGTATGTGTGGGCTTGAGAAAATCATTATCTTGAGAATGAATTGGTGCAGAAATGGGCAACATTCCCCGTGTTTTAGAAATATAGGTTCCAAAGTGACATTAGACTCCACTCATTATTTACAATGATTTGAACATTCTTCTCAGAGTTATGGAGGCTGGTGATTAATGCACAATGTTATTTAATTTTCATTTTTCATATGTAACTTTGTATTGTACTGAAAGCACATGGCTACTGAATGATATGCATGTGGATATCATGCATGTTTCATGTCTGTAGCAGTTTCTAATCTTTATAAAAGTGATAAAAAGAAAGCATATACATGATTTCAAATATTTTGAAGTAAAGCATGTTTCATCTATTTTTCATGGTGAAAGAGCTTTTTATCTATTAATGAAACTGAGCTCAACAGTCAATCAAATGAGAAACAAAGGAGAGAGAGAAAATGAACCAGGACCAAATACTGAGGATGAGAAACATGGCATTGCTAAGTTTAATTGGGACGTTTTCTACCATGTAGAAATCTTCATAATCATAGATAAGCTATGAGATAACCAAACCTGCCCTTGTGAAGACTAATCGACCAAATATCTACATCCCACATTCTTATTTTTGCATTTCATTAATGAGGTGCAGTGACAGCTGAATGAAGTGACACTGCCACATAAATCAAATCAGAGGATTGCCACTACTGAGCCAGCACTACCAGATCATCTAGCAGCAGGCAGGGATGGGGGGAAAACATTATTTCTGAATTATTGTGGGCTTTAACACTGTTTTATTATCTTCGTTATATTCTACATTCAGTTTCTGTGCACTGCTCTAATATTCTCTGACTAAAACACTTTATAAATGCTGAAATAAAATAAAACAGGAGAAACTCATGGGTTTATTACAAATAAATTAGCAAGGTGCTCACCAAGTAATGGAAATGTACGTGGAAACACATCCTATAGGTTTTGCATGCACAAGGTCCCAGGTGGAAGCCCAACATCTCTCAGTAGGGCTGAGGATGCTCCCTGTCGGAACCCTGAAGAGTCACGGCCAGTCAATATAGACAGTGTGCTACATGGCCATATGGTATGACTACGTTCCTAGTGGTACCTTATGTAATCAGGCGGTCTTTTTGCTTGAACGGAAAACCCTTCTCCTCCACTTCGGTCCAAACATACCTTCTGCTCCAAAGTGGCAATTAACCCCAGAAGGGGAAGCGTCCGTTGCCCCTCTCCAATGCCCTACATAGTCACATCTCTTTCTGGATTAAGCCCACCTCTCCCTATTTTGCTCAACCTAGTATAAGGGGCACATCTGTAGGCACAGGCTGTGCAGCTGTGATGTTACAGAAGTCTCCAAGTGCCAGGCTTCAGGGAATCCAACCCCCTTCTCTCACAGCAGGCTGCCAGTAATGGAAATACAAGAAGCTCTTACCAAGGTATTTTATTCAATATTCACAGAGAGAGACACAGGATGCTGTCTCTTGGATAATGGTGTTGATCTGAGTAATCTCCTCCCCCACTTTACTCTCAGTCGACAGCAGCTCCACCCCTTATACGGTGGCTGCATGAGGCCCTTTGTCTATTCGCTTTCTGTTCTCCCACTTTCACTGCCCTCCTCGTCCTAGGAGAAGTGGGGTCTGGAATGCTTTCTAATGATAACGTGTCAGCCAGCTGTTCTGGCTCTTCTGCTCCCCCCTCTTCTTCTTCATTATCTCCCAGCTTTGTCCTTCTGTCTCCAAGTCATGACCTTCTGCAAACCACCGTTGTAAATCTTTACTGTCCTCCTCCTCCTTGGAAGGTTCATTCCTCCTCAGTCCAGTCCCTGAGACTAAGTCACCGTTTATTGAAATGACCCATTCAACTATTGGAAGAGCTGCTGGGATACCACAGAATGTTCTGAAACATCCTTACATCTCAACAGTAAACAACCTATGCAAGGAGCCTAGCAACAGAACAGGGTTTGTGTGGTATTGATAAAGTTGTAGCATGTGGAGAGATGTTCAGGGCTCAGATTGTGCTTCTTGCACCTCCTTTGGTGGCTGACATCATTATTAGCTATGGAGAGCACCTTTGCATGCACCCATTAATAAATGTGTAAGGGCACATGTGTCAGAAAATACAGGGAGGTCATGAAGGTTGAATTTAGAGTAACTCGGTTAGATGAAACCCTTCTGCTAATTAGATGAAACCCTTCTGCTAATTCAGGCATAGGCAAACTTGGCCCTCCAGCTGTTTTGGGACTACAACTCCCACCATCCCTGACCACTGGTCCTGGTAGCTAGGGATGGTGGGAGTTGTAGTCCCAAAACAGCTGGAGGGCCGAGTTTGCTTATGCCTGTGCTAATTTGTGTACTCTTCAACTTGTACTTACAGGAAATCCTATTTCAGCCAAGTACTTTAAATAGGAGTGACATGACAACATAGGAATAAGGTCAATAATATCCAATAAGCTTGCCTGCATCCTTTTTGTTCTAATAAAATGCTTAAGCGATCTATTTAATGGACCTAGTCTTGTTTATCACTTACATATTGCTGCTGAATAGAGTATGAGCTCAAGACTGCAAAATCAAGAAAACTTTCCCATTCATATATAATATATGTTTAACTATTCTTTCTTTAAATCCTAGCCCGTTGGCATAGTGAACAAAAGGATAAGGTGACGGGGATATATTAGAAGTACCTGTTTCTGAGAACAGTATTCTGCGGCTTCTGAGAATAATGTTCTATTCTCAGAAGCTTTAATATGTGCAAAAATGTTCTGGAGTATAGACTTCCATCTGGATGTGCATTTTACTTCTATACCTGTATCTCTCTTAATAGACATGCAGCAGATTAAAAGCAAAAATAGTGTTCTGATTTAATTTATTTAAGGAATGTGGCTTAATCAAAGGAATGCCATACTGTGCTATCAATACTTTAGTTATAATTTTTCATTTAACAAGTTTTGTGAGAATACATTATCTCAACACAGTGACATCAAAATAAGGTAAAGCATAATTCTTTTAACAATAAATGTTGAGTACCTGTTGTTTCCAAGGCCACGATCTTTGGTTTTAACATCAAGGTCATAAATAAAGTGTTCTTGGGAGATTCCTACAATATTTTCTGCAGTTTCATTTCCCTTGATGGTGATAACAGGATAACCCATCTGCAGTGTCCACTGATCCATTACTTCTTGGATATTCACAAATTTCCCAACCTTCTTAAGTGCCTTCAAAACAAAAAGAAGAGAAAATTTCATTCAATATATTCAGGGAGTACTGCCAGTATTATGTTACCTTTCAGGGTGGCGGCAGGGGCGGAGAGAGAGAATAGAGGACTACTACTCTTTGCTTCACTTCAAAAAACAACCATTCACAAAATAACATAGGGTATTCATGTCTGGGGTAAGAACTTGTGCTTCTTCAGATGTTGCTGGACTACATTTCCAATTATCCCTGGCATTGGCCACCCTGGATGGGGCCGATGGAATCTGCCAAACCACAGGTTCCCCAGTCCTACAACAGAGGCTAGCCCATTGCTAGCAACATATTAATAGGAACTAGACAGAAAGTGGACACAGGACTGTAATCTGACAATTTTAATTACCAAATTTATACAAAGACTTTAAACCTTAGTCATGGTGGAACCCGGTCCTGCCTTCACTGCAGTTAAAATGGTGCTGACGTAATGTTTAAGTGGCACTAGACAACTGTTCTCCAGAAAAGGGGGGAACTAGAAAAGGAAGTACATAATATTGCATTCTTTTTCTGATCTAAGAGAATCTCAAATCTTGTGTCTGCCCTGCTCAAACGATGCATTTCGACGCGCGTTTTGCAAACCCTTTCATCTCAGTGAAGTATGGCCCCTTCTTTAGCAATGAGCATTTAGAGGCATATTCCCTGCCACATGCTGGTTCATCTAGTCACGTGGGACTAGAGCTGTATTGGGGCAACATTTTGTTTCCCATGCCCCTTTGCACTTTATTCAATATGATTTTAATCTGTCTTTTTGTTTGTGAAGCAACAGCTAGCTCATACTTGGGAAGGAGGAGTTTTCACATGCTCTTTTCCATCATGACTGACATTACAGCTATTTAGCTGCCCTAGAATACTTATAGTTGACTGCACCAAATCATAAACAGCTTCTCTTTTAGTCCATTACACTTCTATGTTGCATCCTGCTTCCCCTTCAGTTCATTTCAAAGGAGCTGATATCTGGATCCATTTGTTTTGATTATCCATTTCTAGATACTCTGTCTTTCACATTCCATAAATTTTTATTTAAGAATTTTCCAAAATGATATACAGAAACACAAATAAAACACTCATTAACAGGAATATGAGTTTCAGCATGGGATATTTATTCCTTGGGTTAACCCAAGTTCCCTGAAAACTTTAAATTGTATTACCTCTGACAGTGTGTTCCATAGGTCCTTTCTGGCAGCATTGCCATACTTGTGAATGGTTAGATAATCCTACAAAACATATGTAAACCAGTTGTTATTGTAAAAAAAAGCAAACTTATTCCAAGTCAAACTATGGTGCTCTATTGATACAACAATTAAGTATATTCTCATACACAAATCATATACATGTATCTTATAAGTTACAACAATAAGTTACAACAATATTATTTCTTAATTTTGGGCTGCGCCCCTGTTCACTCCATTTGCCAATCCCCTCAGCCATCCCCTCCATATTAACTCCCTAGAGCAGTGGTGGCCAAACTTGGCCCTCCAGCTGTTTTGGGACTACAATTCCCATCATCCCTGACCACTGGTCCTGTAAGCTGGGGATGCTGGGAGTTGTAGTCCAAAAACAGCTGGAGGGCCAAGTTTGGCCACCACTGCCCTAGAGCTTCCCCTTACCACTTCATAAAACTACTAAGCACCCTTTTCACCTTCTGCACAGAAGCCACTACAATCTCTTCCACCCTCTTTCCCCTGCCTCCTCTTTCTTCCTTTTTTCAACTTTCCCTTGCACACAGACACCCCCCCACACACACAAGCATTAGTTTGTTCAGTTAGAAAAGGTTAAGTTGATGGATGTTGTACATATATGGGTGTTTGCTGGTCAGTCTAATATTACATTGAATCTGGAACTTCATGTTGAAGACAACACATGGTATTAGGAGTGAAATACAATATGTAAACAAAGGCAGGGATAAACAACTTTCAAAACTATAATTCAATGAACCAACTTTTTGCTCTCAAATTAATTCTCAAACTTTTAAATTTTCAGACTTTTTTGTTAAAAATAAATAAATTACAGCTTCTGCAACAGTTTCCAGCTCTGGGAAATTTTCCAAAGATAGGTGCTACTTATTATTTCAGCAGACTGTTTTGTGGTTTGTGTCAAGAACCCACAGGCTCTGGTTGATAGCTAAATCTGTTATTAAACATTTTTAAAAGGAACAGTCTATTCAAGACTTATGTCTATTAAGGTTTTATGGGTCTTGCAATTTGATTCTGCAGAAATATATAATGCTATCAAACCAAGTGCACAAATTTTAGTTTGAAACTTCTCTTAAAGAAGTGGGTTTCATCTCACGGAACAGAAGCTTCTTATGCGCAAGGGTTCTACTAAATGCTAAGGCAATTGTTAGATCAGCAAGTGTCTTTCAATGAATGTAATTAAGGTTTCTGACAATGTAAGTTTAATATTGATTTCTTTTGTCCTTTTTATTCCTAAGTTTTATCTCCCTACCTACACCATACTAGGGCTAGGATTACATTTTATAGATCCATCTTCATTTTGTTCAGTGTTCTGGAGTTCCATAAAGCATATTAAATTGGATATAGAGCAAGAGATTTTCTACTTGATCTAAGCATAAAATGTGAATACATTAAAATGCATTTTATTTACCAGGTAAAAAGCAGGATTCCCATACATGTGAATGTTCACCACCTTCACTTAAGAAAAGCAGTAGAAGGCAAGCCCTAATTTCAAGCAAAATCATTAAAAATTGTGCTGACTGTGTTTTCTGCATGGTATGTGCGTGAACTAGGTATTTCAATGGTAATTAGTGTTTGGGGAGCAAACATCCTGATGCACAAATTGCAAGCACTCATGACAGATTTAGCTTTATTTCTGTGAACTCGCTGTACAAGAAGCAGAAACTCCCATATAATCACAGCTTAGAAAAGTTAAATGAGAACACTGACTCACTTTAACCACAATGCATAGTTTTTTAAATGTCATGCAAATAAGCCTTAGAAAAGATAGCAGAATATATGCTCCTCCAACATACTGTGCTAATATCTAAAAATAAACAACTCAATGGTTTCTCCAGGTGAATTGATTATTTTTATAATAAAAACACCCACAGTAAGCATATAAACAAGATGGGTTATCCAAAGTCAGCCCCACTTATAAGAGGGTACGACTGGTTTTGTTTCCACGTTGGTTGCTATGACCAATAGATGCATATGTTGGAAGGGTTTTCAATATTTGCCTTTCTCAACTCCAGATTCTAAGCTTCACATGGAAAATTCTATGCTCAGAAGATCACTGCTAGCGATGATATATTGTGACCCAGTTCCAGCATATGCAATTTGGGGATAACTTTAAAAATGTATCCATGCTAATGCTAAATGTTACATTAGAATCAGCCCTCAGTGTCAAAGGAAGGAAAGACCAACATCTTGAAATGTATGAGGAACTTTTCAAATCCCAACAGACCACAATAGTTGTCAGGAATTTATGAAGCTCAGTCTTGAAAGCTAATTTGACTGCTATGGTGCCATGACTGATAGAAGAAGAGTATTTCACTTCTGTCATTGATGTTCTCCTGATGTTGGCATGATCTTGAGCTGTATATTGGCCATGTTTTACTGTACACAACAGGTGTGAAGCTGCCCCAACATTTACGCCAACAAGTCAATGCATGTTTCTTAACAGTCTATATTAAGCCACTACATTAGCTTCTACCGTTTGTTTTAATTCTTCCTACAGAACATTCGTAGGAAGAGGAAAATGTTTTTTTCTTTGGTATTTGTTTTATATACCGTGGAAGCTTGAATTTTCCTTTTAATTTCCAAATACGCCATTTTAGTAAAAAATAATATGTAGAGCTTATATAAAGAGAAAATAATGACACTTGAAATGAACTGCAAGCTACAAACTCATGATACACAGCACTATTCATTATATTTTGGTTTTTTTTGTTTTGGTTTTTGCACTATTCAACTGCTCTAGGGCTAGATTGATTTTGTTCCACACTCTGCCTTTAACAATCAAGTGGCTTGTAAAATTAGCAACTGTAGAATTGTGCCTCTTGCAATGCCAGGTTCTGCTGGGCAATCCACAGGGAGATTATAATGAACACAGTACAAATTGCTCCTCCCAAAAATTCCAGCTCACGTACCTTGCTGTGAGAAGCAGCAAGGAAATATAATGGAATCCCCCAAATCCCATCTTTGTGGGAAGACTATGAGCCAACACAGACCAACATTTTAGCACACACTCTACCACAATCTTTTTCATATTCTAGGTCTTAAACATGTTTTCACATTACATTTAACAGTTCTTCCAGGAAGACCATTAATACCACAAAACATTCAAAAGTAGGTCTCACTCCATCTTATATAAAAATGAAGAATATGCAGAAAGGCTGTCTTTACTATACAATGCCATAATTAAAATAATAAACTATACAACTAAAGAATTAGAAAGGTTATCTTTTTCTACTCCCCACAGAGAGAGCTGCTGTGAATTGAGGATAGGTTCTCCAAAATGGGTAATCACTGAGAGAATTCGTTTTAAAATTGTAAATAAATAAACCAACGGACAAGTAAATTCTTTTTCAGTTGTTAAAATCCAGGACACCCATGCATCCAGAAAGCTCTTATTTTTGCATGTCCAGTAAATTTATCTAGGTTTTTTTTTTACCTTTATTAATGAACTCCTGGGGGAGGGCAGGAAGGAGAATTCCTCATGTCAATTTGATCTTCCGAGCTTCCCAAACTCTGGTGTTGATAAAGTGACTAAGTTAGAGATCAATTTGTTGCCCATGTACTTATGGAAGGTCTTTACAATGGAAGAGGAAGGAGGTGAATTTTGCAAATTTGCAGCCTCTTGCACACACAAACACCCATCCTGCTCTGGAGAGTATCCTAACTCTCCAGAACCAATTTTTGTGGGGTGCTGCTGCAGCAAGTGAGTGGAAGAATTGGCACAAATAATTTCTCCCTTCTGTTAGCAAATCCATCCACTAGATCAAAAAAGGCTTCGCATAGGCACAAGGCAACCACCAGATGCCATCCTAAAGAGAGAATTTTATCTTATTATATCTGCCAGAACAAAACGTTCAAGGTTTCCTTAGAAAATGACTTCCTCAGTGATTACCTATTTTGGGGAATCTGTCCTCAATTTAAAGACAGCTCTCACCTGGCCTGCATACAGACATATTTGGGATTGCTAAACCTCCTTCTTTAGCTCAGTTGTAATGGCTTTTATTCACCCAAAATGAAGCCATTAAGTAATTTTCCCATGCTTTCAGTTTTTTGCTCTAAGACTTATAATGACATTACTTGAAATAAAATATTGATTCTAAGTAGAATACTTATTTTAGTGGTTGTAATCCTGCCAAAGAAGCATAATTTCAGCTTTCCCCACACTTAATATCTTCCTTAATGGTTAAAAAACACAAACCAACTATTATTTCTCTCCTCAATCTGACACAGATTCAAGACAATTATAATTACCATGTATTTCCAAAACATGATTTGAGTCAATTGAGTACATTTCGGAGTTAACCATATCAGGGTGGTTCTAAACAGCTTGAGTTTTTACCATCATTAATTTTAAACTAATTTCCAAATGCAATATAGTTCCATACTCTTGAAGTTCATGTTGAATCTCTCCAGAATAGTTCTTCTGGCCATCTTTAAGTAATGCAGATTTGACACATTGCTTAATTGTATTATGATGGGGTCAGCTAAACATCTAACAGGGGAACCCCTATCAATTTTCACTTGTTAATTGAACAACTGTCCCATTCAAAGAGGCAACTGCTCCCAATTGTGATATAATCCCTCAATTACTTTAATGAATGTCCCAAACCCACCCTTGTAACCTCAGATCTTAATAACAGCCAGGGTTACATTTACGGAACATTGAACAGCTGCCTAATGTTATCAGAGACCTGTCCATATTTATCTACATATCTTCTCCATTTACACATAAAAGGGAGAAAAGGATATGTTTAATATTTTATATGAAAATGGACCCCCCCCATATTAATTCCTGGGACTCTGCTGCTTCAAGTGCCAAAATGGTTCACTTCTGATACCACAGTCAATCTGGGAGAAAAGTTATTGGTGTGGGGAGAGGGGCTCAGTTCTCCCTATCCATAGATTCATGTAAAAATTAAGTTCTCTTCACTTTATACTTGAATGGAGCAGAAATATGGAGAGCAAATGTTGGTGTCCCCATCACATCTAGTTTAGCTCTAAAGCCTCATTTTTGGTGAATC